AAAGATGGAGGAAAGTGAGGATAAAGCCTGAGCAAAAAAATAGGCGTCCCATCGTCAGAGTAGACATATGGATGATGAAAAACGATGGAAAACAATAAAGAAATTAGATTCTTCAAAGACTTCAGCAAAATAATGTGCAGAGAAAATAAAGTAACTGTAGACATAACAGAATGAAGTACAGCATGTAAAGTCTGAAAGAAGACGTAGCTCCAGCAATGCTACCATAGTGTTTTTACCTACAGTGGACAATACTCAAAATTGAACTTTCTTCAGTTTTTCTGGTTGTTTTCAATTCATCATTTTTACATAACATATTTATCTGGAGCCACTGTGTCACAGAGAGGGTTACTTGCCCAAAGAAGTCATAAAGCTTAAAAAATAATGCATATATACATACTTTTTCAAATTTTGTTTATATACAGTCTCTTTGCCCATATGGAAAAGATATATATAAATCTTATAAAGTTTGTATCTGTCTTGCGTGAAACTTGTATGAAAAGCATATAAGTGTGAAAACAGATATAAGATCCCTTGAAAAATTATATAATGAAACTTGTATGTTTTGGATAGTTACTAAAACAATGTATGAAAGTAATGAGAAAGTGGCCACTTTCACGAGTAATCACATATAAGTTTTTACTATTTCTTTTCCGTATGGGTGGATTTGATCTCTCGTACAAACATAGCAAGAAATTCTGTTATGTTTGCCTTTATTATCATTTAGTTCATTCTGTTGTTTTTTGATATGGTTGAACAGCTAATAGAGGGAATGTGATACTGCATATAGATATCACGGTAACATACGCATAAGACATCCTTAAATTTGTAATAAAAGTAAAGATTATTGGATATTTTCAATACAAGGAAACTTGAAGGCATCTCGGCAAAAAAAAAAAAAAAAAGGGGGGGGGGGTACAGTCTGTGTTATGATAATACATAAATACCTTGTCTTCACTGTAGCTGTAGCACATTTCTGCTGTCAGGTGTGACTTGAGTTAGCATTATGATTCTGCCTGCTTGCAAAGGTGAACAAGGGAATGTGAGATTAAAGGAAATGAACTGAGGAGAAAGAAAAGTGATATGACATTATGATATGCAGGACACGTCTCCTTTTCTAAGGACATGATCTAGTATTTCTGCAGAGCACAGTGTCAAAGAGGCTCATCCATCACATGATTTTATGGCAAAAAGCCTGGTCGCCAGGCTTATTTCATTTTTTCATCAATGAGTCTGATGACTAATAAACTCTTTGACCGTGATTTCATGTGGAATAATGCTACTACATGAACACAACCTAAATTTAAAAGCTTTATAGTCACAGACACTGCTATCTAGCCAAATTGGCACATTAAAAACAGTAAAATTTGGCATCATTCAGCCGTGGCTCCCAATGACAAAAGAAATACTGGGAGAAAGATACGGGAGAGCACGTTAGGGCCACATGAAGAGAGATTAAGAGGGACAATAGCAAATTTCTCCTCCCCTTACTGAGACTCCTTTGCTATAATCAGCAGCCTTAGTGTTTGCTGTAAGAAAGGGGTGTGATGCTAATCACAGTGCAGGGATGCATGGTTTAGCACGAGATGCATAGGTTGGGCAAAAGATTGGGCAGACTGTAAAAGGTTTTTGATTATAAATAATCTCACCCACTCACTTTAAGCCCTTAACACCCACTGGCCAAAATATGAGTCCATTGAAAATTCTGCTGCTGTATTTTGAATGACATTGGTCCAATCTGAATGACATTTGCCAAACCGCAAAGCCTCATGATTCAGAGAACTTAAGTCTTTTACAGACACCATTGCTCTTATTTGTAAGCATGCAGCAATACATTGTCTCCCTTGACTCACTATATATAGCACGCTGTTTTCAGCAAGAGCCCATATAAAGCACCACATATATGGACAAAGCCATTGGGAACATTGAGTGCTATCTATTTAAACATGTGTGGTCAAGAGTTAATATACTTTTGTTTTCATTTGTGCTTCCATCATTAACCTCGCGCCTGTTCACTGAATGCTTTCACCTCTCCTTGGCTTCTTCTTTCTTATTAGAAAACACCAGGTATGTCCCCATATTGTCAATATTACAATTAAGAGATATGCATCTCCAAAGCTAATTTCTGTGTAAAAAAACAGGGGGTTGAAAACCAAATGCCATCAGAGTGGAGAAACACAGCAAATGTACCCGTCCTTGTGTATCTTGTGAGACTAAAATGTTGATACAGTGTAAATCAAAGTGCATTTACTTCATCAACTGTAACTGTAGGATGTGCTACTATGAGGAAGGATCTTAAGCCTAAATTGCCAAGATTTGTTTGAAAAATCCATAAGATAAACTAAACACATTTCTTACTGTAAGAATATAATCTGGCATTTGCGGCCGCTGTAATCCTGGCCTATGGAGACGTTGTGCTATATTGGAAGTGACAGGCTGTAGTGATTTATGTGACGAACACTGGCTTCATGTTAAGTATCACATTATTGATATGACAGCTGTAGCTTATACTCAGGACCTGCAAGTGACAGAAAGGTCCACATGTGTGTGTTGGACTGTTGTGAAACTGTACGCTGGCTGTTTTGTTCTTTTACATGCGTGTGTATAAGGAAAGCAAAGTCTGTAAAGTGTCTGTTTATTCGTGTGCACAACTTGTATGACCGTGCGCCTCTGAGTGGTTGTGCGCGCAGCCGATGTGAGTGTTTTCCATTTTGTGTGCTAAGGCTAGAATTGGCCTGTCAGTCACAGTAAAGTGGGGAGAAGAAGGAGACGACATGTGTCGGGAAGTGGAGAGAGAAAAGGAGAGCGTATGAAAGAGATGGATGCGAGAGCACAAGAGAAGGGCAGAGGAGCAAAAGAGGAGGAGGACGAAAGTGAAGTTTGGGGGGATGAAAAGAAACTTTTGTTCTTTTTTTGAAAGAGAAATGCAAATGGAGATGCAGCACAAATGTCTGAGCGATTCTTGATGTCAATTCATTTCAGAAACAGCAGAATAGTCCTTGAGAAGAAGAAAATAACGAATAATGATAAAGTTTGCCATATACCACTTTTCAAGATCTGTGATATGAAGTCCTTTGCAGGAGCAGCAAAGTAAAATGATTAGTGAGCAAAATAAAACAAGCACCAGAGACAATTGAAGTGCTGCAAAAGAAATAATTTAAGAAATAAAAAATGGTAACAGAATCTGAAACTCAGGTAAAATCAGGAAAAGCTTTCCTCTTTAAGTATATTTAAGTATAAGTATATCCATCCATCCATCCCTCGTTTATCCCAACCACCTTCTTCATCTCATCCAGAGGAACTGTCCCCAAGCCAGCTGAGAGACATAGTTTCCTGTGCATACTGTGGGCCCTCCACCGAGTATGCCCAGAACACCTTGCTTAGGGGAGGCCCAGGAGGCATCCTAATCAGATGCCCTAACCATCTCAACTTGCTCCTTCCGGCATGGGGGAGCAGCAGCTCTAGAATGACTAGATTTCTCACCCTTTCTCTAAGGCTGAGCCCAGCCATGCTTCAGAGAAAACCAATTTCTGCCCCATGGAATCATGATCTCCTTTGGTCATTACTCAGAGCTTGCGACTATAGTTAAGTGTAGCAATGTAGTTTTACACTTTGGTTTTACGCTCAGCTCACTTCACCACAATGGATTTGTGCAGCATCTGCATCAATGCAGATGCTGCACAAATCCGTTTGTCGACCTTCCGCTTCCTCACTTTGGAACAAAACCCCAGATACTTTAAGTCCTTTCCTGTCGAGAACCATAGGCTTGGATTTGGAGAAGCTAATTCTCATTCCCACTTTGAGCTGGAGGCCAGCAACTGATGAAGCCAACAGAACTATATCATCTGCAAAGAGCTGACACGAAATCCAGAAGTGACCCGGCTTGTTAGAAAACAGCAAAAGACTGCCTGTAAATTTCCCCTGCAGTGCATATTGTGACATTTAAGGTCATTGTTGCATCCCTGACCTCTTAGTACCAAATCAATACATATACACAGCACTCCAGGACTGGATCCACTCACTGGATCCCAGTATGGGTAATGGACCGTTGCTTGGGTTGCAGCATGTAGGATCTTCTAATTTGTGTTGATCTTACTGACTGGATTCTTTTCGATGTCTTGTGCTTGGAAGACTAAATCCATTAAGACATATTGCAGCTATAAAGATAATCTCCAAAAATGTAAGGAGAGTGTAACTCTCCCACAGGCAGATAAACGTCATATTTTAACGATTTCAGGTAACACGCAAAGGGTTGTAATGTCATGTTGCAGGTGGAATAATGTTCAGTTGAGCAATAACTTTATCTTCCTAAAGTGTGAAGCTTCCATTTCCATATACGTGTGAATGCTTACATAACAGTTTTTTTTATTGTTCTCCCAAACTCGACTGATCACACTATGTTTTTCTTGCGTTCATCACTCATCAGGCTTTGCTTTCATTTGTTTTAGTGTGAAGTGCTCCCTGCTGCTCCTTCTCTCCTTAGACTTGCTCCCTAAAGGTCTTGAGGATGCTGGCAATGAATATTTCACTAAACTGCATTCTCAGGTTATCAATAATAAAATGGCATATTCTTATAAATATTCTAAAAATATAGCTGGACTCTGCCTCTTCTGTGGTGCATTAAAGATTCATACACACCTAGCAAACTGCTAAATCTTCCACCATAACAGACCCACATGTACATCACCACTGGACTGTATGCAGGTGTTTTCTTCACACTTCTACGTTTTTGTGTTTGCATGTGTGTGCCTTAGTGTATCAGCCCAGCTCAGTTAAACCTAGAAAAGTGCTAAAAGAGGTGATTCACTTTGTCAACAGTCTGAATCACCACTGTCTAATACTACAGCACTCAAGCATTACAGACAGTTACACAGGCACACGTGCTCTCCCCAGCCCACACACTCACCCTGTACACAGCCTTAAATATGATCTCGCTCAGTCTGACGCACATGCAAACACAAATGCACTCTGTTTGTCTCTCACAGATCATTTCCCTCCCTCACCGTGGTGAGATGTCGCAGCCTTGTTGCATGAAGGCTCCCAGTGAGAACCACAGGGAGTTAAAGATGCCAAACTCATTTGGAGGTTGGTCAGTGGGGCCCTGCTCCGTGGCACCCTCCTCTGGTTCCTCGGCATGCCACTCATACGGACTGAAGCGACTCACCTAAGATAGCATATGCAGAAAAGTGGTTAGAAAATTTTAAAGAAAAAGAAGAGCTGAATAGGAACATTAAAATGAAAAATTGAAACATGTTAAGGACTTGAATATGCACACAAATGTTTTCATTTTAATTTCAAGAAAGACACTACAGGACTACCAAGGTCTGAAATGGTCAAAATCCCCTTTTTTAACCACATGGTAATGAGACACAGACAGCACTATCACCAATGTTATTATGCTCTTCCACAACATTAGAACACTAAAGGAATCACCAGAGATGTAAGTCAGCAATACCAGTGTATATAATCTATACTAAATATTGCGTATAAATATAATAGCAACAGAGTAAACTTGGACTTGACAAAGCTAAAAACAGTAGACATGGTGTGCAGCTAAATTACAGTACAGGTAGCTGGCTTGGCGTCATTTCCCTGCATTGCTCAGTAATAATAATAGTGTAGACAAAGCTACAGACCCATTTGAGGTAACACAGTTGTGTGGCAGTATTTTTGTGTGGCAGAAAAATACATGAGAAACATTGAAAAGGAAAGCAGCAAAATAAGGAAAAAATAGCTTTTTGGGCCATTGGTCATCAGAAAAGAACATTTGTGGTTGCAAGCTACATTCACAATTGTTGACTCTACAGTATATATCAGACAGCATTTTCTTGTTTCCAGTTTTCTACTTCATCACATGTGACTGTAAAGTACAAAAATGTATTAGGCTTTTTATTTATATAGAGGCAATGAATATTCTTTTGGCCTTAAATCAAACTTTGGCAAATACACAGTACTGTGTGATTTGATGGATCACGTTCCTCTATAGCTGGTGAAGTAATTTGACTGGCTAGTCAGTTAATATGTACACAAATAATTTTAACTCCAGAACTTTAGCAAGCTAAGGTTAACTGTAACCTGTAACTTTGTTACATGACTTTGGTTATAGTCATTTGATAACATTATCTGATTAGTTAGCTGTTATTTTCAAATTACTTCATGAGTAAGACAACCCCTGGGAGTATGTATGGGAGCTGGACTTACCAGAGTCTTAACTATGTTTTGCTAAAGTTTCACAAGTTGGCTAACCTTAACTTACCATCTCACTAACACTGTCATTACTGCCATATTTGAATCCAGATAATTTTTGTAACTTCTTTAATAATAATAATAATAATAGTAATAATAAACAAACAAACAAAAAGAATAAATAAAAACAAAAACCTTGATCCACTTTTAAAATCTGATGTCATTAGCTATTTCCAGGTGCAAATGCTGCTTGTAAAGCTTACAGTAAAGCTTGGTATCCAGTTATTCATGAATATGAGGCTTTACAAGGATTAGAAGTTAGCAAGCTAGTTTCCACCAAAAGATGACATTACATGTTCTGACTGTAGTATTTCTAAATAATGAAAACATACTCATAGCACTAGTAGCTCTACTGCTATAACATGGGATACGGACAAATATGGAAAACCAGAGCCATTGGGCTAGTAGACAAATAATATTGTCTTACCTGGTTGATAGCTACAGAGCTATGGTTAGGATAATATAAACACATTAGCACACGGAAGACATGATGGTTGATCCACAGCATGAGTTTAGTCAGTAATATGTTGCTGTGTGGTGAATCGCTCTTGCCTGGGAGCGATTCTTTTCTGAAATGTTCAAATGTTTGGTGACCAGGACACCATGAGCCCATGGGCTGAAGTGTACTCTGTGAATTTTTAATAAATTCATAATAATATAGTGCACAAGTAGTGCTAATAAAAAGATGCAGAGGCTGAGAATGAACACTGATTATGGGCTTGCAACATTACAGCAAAGCATGGTGGCCTCTATCAACTAAACAGCAGAAGTTTTTGTTGAAGTGTATTTTTGAAAATGATTATCAGCTATTAGTGGACTCCATTTCCTAGCAAGTAGCATTGCCTGGTCTTCATCACCTTTGGCACCTTTAAATTTTCAAGTTTCACCAGAGTTGTTTTCTTTTGTTGTTTAAGATCAGTCCACAGGTCACAGAGTTAGTTGGGTAGGGTTGCATTTTTTACGTTGTGCTATAATCTATTCACACAGAAGTTAATACAAAATGATAGAAATGTGTTTTCAGAGGCAAACTGAGCTAGCAAGCGGCGAGAGACATCTGTTTAACATCTCAGAACAGATAAAAGGAAAACCTTGGAGAGTGAATTTCTGATTTATATAAAAGAGGAAAAACAGTTTCCTTGAATATTCAGACAATCTGGTATCACAGGGCTTATGCTGATCTTGTGCATGCTGAAGTGGGCTGTCTTAAATATCTGACATTGAGCATCTAAATGTCTCACATACATCACTATTATGATATTTCTGTTCATAGAGGATGCCTCTAAGTATCCAATGGTTTCCTGCCTAGAAGCTGTCTTCAACACTGTAAATGCCATTTCAGCTGAGAGTGTAAAGGGAGTACTGTCATACTTCTTAAATTTTTAAATGCATTAGCTATTGAGGGCTAATCTATAAAACATAAAAAATATATACTCAGAGACATCAAGAGTCATGATGAGTTGTGTGGTAAAAAAGCACCTTACAATAAAAACTAACTTCTGTAGCTACTGTATGCGCTTTCATCCCTTAACCCAGTAACTTTTCTAGTCCAGTCCTGGGATCCAGCTCAAATTCTAACACCTAGTATGTAACAATAACTCACCAAAAACAGCACAACACTGACGCCAATGTAAGCGAACACTATGCACATCCAGATCTCGTAGGCCAGTGGGTCCAGGAAAGAGAAAACACCTGGTTTAGACTTCTGAGGCTTCTTGATCATGATTGAAATTCCCAGAGACATGAAAGGCTTAGAGAAGTCGATCACCTCCTCTCTCACCAGGGTGATGGTCAGTGGGGCCACAGCAATTTCTGCTTTCTGCAAAGGAGAGGGGTGGGGCTGAGATTTCACTTCACTCTCATGTTTTTACTGCAGTTAATTTGCAGCAACTGCATATAAAACAAACAAGCTATAATGAATAGAAACTGTCAATGAGCAAAGCAAAGGGGAACTGGACTCAAAGGTGAGAGAAGAAGTGGGAGAGCAGAGGGTTGAAAGAAATGCAGGCGGGTGATGGGATACCAGAACGACAGAGGAGTATTTCATACAGTAGACATGAAAGGCGGTGTGCATACAGACTTACACACATTTACAAAATCCAAAGAAAAGTCAGAAATCCCATTAATTCAGCACACAGACTGCTGAATGATTGCATGATTCTAAATGATAGCTACAGTGGTAAGTGAAACAACCTACGATAGCAGCGCATTGCTACAAAGAGTAAAGATGTTGCAACACAAGAAAAGTAAACAGCAAATATAAAAGAACGAGGACAGAAGTGATATGAAAAGAAAACAGAGAGGACAGGATATCAAATACCCACTCAACCTAATGCACAATAGAGAGACGGATAAAATAAATTACAGCAAAGACGCAGGGGGGGGGGGGGGGTAAAGTACAACAAAGAAAAGACAAAGACTACAAGTGCAGTACAGTATTTTCTATGTGTGGAAGAAGAGTTATCAGGACGGACTGTGAGTGTTTGATGCAAATCAAACCCGATTAGTCAATGTTCTGCTGTGTCACCTTCCAGATTCTGGAGGGTAATTAATTCTGTCGGTGTTCTGCTGCAACGTCTCCGCTTTCACTCTTCGTCAAATCGACGACTGACATTGTCTTGTGTGTGCAAATAAAGTTTGTATTCAGACAGCATTGTGAGATCTCAGACTGTGCCTGGGAGTATATGGCATAATTAACCAGCGTGGCAAAAATCTCAAGAAATAAGTGAACCTGCCGTGACATTACATCTCAGTGGGAAGCTAACTTGGCAACTATGGAGATGCAGAGCTTGTGAGAGTTGCTATACTGCAGGGAGTCATTTTGAGAATTTCTCGGTCATTGCATGATGTAATGTCTCTGCAGCTCATACGACCTCTGCAAAGATTATAGAAGTTTTTGCCAAAAGGCACTGAAGTGCACCATAACAGGATGTGATTTGTGATGCTGTTGTAATGTCATTGTGATTTCACTTAAACGCCATACTCTGATACTTAACAGAAAATCCAGAACAAAATTCAAAGCATTCCTTGCATGCTGCAATTTTTCCATCCTTACCCCGTACACAAGCTCGCCAACCATGCCATTCCATATCTTTGTCTCTGGATCCCTCGCTCCGTATTTCCCATCTGGTACAATGGAGATCTTGTATTTAATTCCGATGTGTTTGGCAATCTCAGAGGCAAGGTCCACACAGTATCCCTCATACTGGTCGTTGCCCTCATAAAGCTCCCAGTTCTTCTTCAGCATCACGTAAGGACCCTCCTACAAAACCAGCATAAGGGAAGAAGGACAGCTGTTTGGACGAACATGATGGCAGGAATTAAGAGGAACCAGTCTGCTTACGAACAATGCACCACGCATGAAACACATACAAAGAAAATTGATGTTATTCTTGTGAAAAATAGACATGTATATAGATTTTAAGGAGAAGCTTATATTGAACTTCTTTTTGTAAAAACAATCTTTGAGTAACAAATCTCTACAAGATATGAAAATAATGCAAAGCTACAGGATTGAATAAAAGACCAAAGAGCAAATCAGCTGAATTTTATAAACTACATACACATCACCCTAAGATATCTTAGCGTACATACAGGACCATGTCCATATAACCCACCATCACATTATCAGATTCACGTGTTAGTAACTGTGTAGTAACATAAAATCTCACACACAAACTACCTTGTTAGTAAAACACAGAAGCCAGAACTTGATAAAAAACGATAGTTGATAAAATGGGAAAATATCTATATATTACAGATGGTTTTTACAAGGTGAAGTTTTATATCTTGTTTTTCTAACTTGCAGCACTGTGTTATATGCCTTCGTCTACATGACTCCACAGGGACCCTCACCTGAATTAGTGCAACACTAATGCTGAGAAGAGAGAAATGTATGAGAGGGAAGAAAAATACAAAGAAGGAGAAGAAAAAGCAGAGGAGACTGGTGCTTTTAGGCGAAATGAATTCTGTGCATGCAGTTATCAAAGATGAAAGCGAAAAGAGTGAGTTTAATGTGAGGTGGTCGGTGTATTAGGAATAGCACAAATGCATCGCTGCACGTAGGATATCCACAGAGAAAAGAAACGCACACAGACGCAGAGAGTCTTTTGAGTGACAGTGCATCTATCAGAAGCAGTGAGTAATGGTATTATGCCTGAGGCAGCTTACCCTGTAATCCACATGAAACAAAGCCTATTAAAATGTTATCAAACCTGTTTTAATCAAAGACTAATCTCATCTGTTTAATCAAACAGGCCCGGTATAATACCCAACACGGCCGAGCTATGAAACAGTAAATGTGGACGATAAAACACATACAAAACGATAACATTTGAATTCTTCATTCGCGAAATTGATTCACACCAAACTCAAGTACAGTTTAATCAAGGAGAATTTTTATGCTGACATGAATCAAAGAGGTCAAATGAGCAATAAAGAACACAGATCTGGATGAAATCAATGGGAGAATCTTCAATCTGGGAAATTGAATTACATTCAGAAAAGGTCTAGCTCAAAGGAAGGCATGCAGAGGGATTAAAACCATCTCACAACAGGAGCTGAGCGATACAAACAAATCCTTCAAAGGGAAGCTGGATTTATAGATTGATCCTTATTCTCTTCAGCAAACAAAGAGCTTGAAATGAAACCATTTACTTGTGCACTTGTGTACGACTGAGGCGTAAAATGAGAAATTCTTCTCAGTGGGGGTATTTAATGACTTTGCATTTATCTAAATGTAAAGATGATTTATACTGCAGAAGAATTTCTGTCTTATATTATCTGATTCCTAATTTGGTTTATGAGTAAATATCTTGAAAATTAAAAGCATTCCCCACCGCCTCTGCTGGACATCCTGACACTGCTCACTGGATTGAGGATTACCATTCTGAAGACTCCAGTCTGGTATTTTGATTTTGGCCACCACCAAAATAAAATAAACCCAAAAAACATCAAGATAAAGTATTATCATTGTTATTTTAAGCATGTTCACAACCTGAAAAAGCTGCTAGGATAGCTGTAAACATTTCTTTTTCTAAAATATTTTTTTTTAAATGAGTTCATCATTTTTTTTAGTTTGCTTAGGACGTGCACGCCTTTTTGTTCTTCCACATAAACAAGGTAAAAAAAAAACATACAGAAAATAACACTACATTTAGACAATTCAAAAACAAATACACATTACAGAGGTGCTTTTTGCAAAAAAAAAAAAAAAAAAATTCTCCACTTTTCAGTAAAAGACTATTAAGAAAATCTGTTTCTTTTGAAGCCAAGCATTCAAATCAGTTCTTAATTTATGTTGAATATTAATGCTGAACATTTGCACTACCAAGACAATCATCGTCATCATCATTAAATACAAACATTTGCCCTTTGGTGCTCAGTTTCATAACATACAAAGAAAACAAAACATAAAAGAACAAAACATTTCTCCCAAAAATATGATTATCAGATACATTAGCAGCTTCCGGGGCACAAATTCCACAAACTATACATCAATCATGTGAAAAGCAAAGCAGTTTCATGTAAATGAAACAGATGCACAGAGCCATCACAATCGCATACCAGGGATAAAAAGTAAGAGGAAAGAGATAGTGTGAGGAAATCATCTTTTAAAGTACAAGTGCTTTGAACGCTGGAACCAGTTGTAATGCAGACAACTTGTACAAATATATATAAGGAAATAAGGAAACTCAAACGTATGTAATATTATAATCTGATTGATGTGGTTGCATGTTTAAAGCACTATCTATAACCTTAATAGTTTCCATTAACATATATGCGCTCAGAGCTAGACTGATACCACTCTAATTCTGTAAGTTAATTATGAAGCTGCAGCCATGAGACGGTTAGCTTAGCACAACTGTCCACTGGAATGAATGCAACCAAAGGATTAGCTGAAAAATACAACATACATCTCCTCAGTGATTTTTTAAAGCGGTCTTGAGCAATAGTTCTCCTGTTGCTCTCTACATCCATCCGTAAAACATGGTGGAGGTACTGTCGTGGTTTAGAGCAGCTTTTCAGCTAGTGGGGTTGGGGATCGTTTCAAAATGAATAATGAACACAAAAAGGTACCATCTGGTAAGCATCTGATTGGCAACAGTTTCATGTTTCAACATGACAGTGATCCCAAATATACTGCCAATGCAGTGAAAGCATACCTTGATAAAAAAACACACACAGTGGAACACTCTCAGTCAGGATTTAGCCTAAACAGAGCCTGGACCTCAACATAATTAAAGAAGTGTGGGATAATCTTGAACGAGAACAGAACAAAAAGGCAGCCAACATTCAAAGTGGAGCTTTGAATGTCATTCAAGAAGATTGGAGAACTACAGTTCAGCTAAGAGAGTTCAGACTGTGTTGAACGTTTAAGGAGTCATACCTTTCAAGCTTGTTAGAATTGTAACAAGCTATTTATTTATTTATATATCTCTATTTCCATGTATCTTTGCACATGTTTCAATAAACTGCTACACCTATTTCCCATTTTCATTTTGAATAAACCACTCTATTCCTATTTTTGGAGCTTAATTTGAATTTGAGATTGTTTCTGATATAATTGGTTTAAGGTTTATGTAATAATCAACTTAAAATCATATCCACAAGTATTCGTGCACATGCTGTAGTGTCAAATGGAGAGCAGCATTATTGTCCAAATCAAACTCTTGGCAGTTGGCAAATGGAAATATCTTCTAATGCATATTTATTTATTTTATTTATTTTTATTGTCAGCTTTATAGTGAATTCTATGAATCCAATCCTGTCACGTCCAAACAACTTTCTTTGCTGACCCTGAAATGGAAGCGCCTTATCAGGTCCCTTCCTTAAAAAAATAACCTTGAGCGCTTGTTTGCTTCATCTTTAATCACTGATTCTCAGCGGGAATCTTTTAGTCAGCTTGTGTTAAGGAGAATGCAGCCATCTCAATTACAAGGTCAAATGCTTGAAGTCTGACAAGTCTACTTTGCTGAGTTAATTTAGTTTTATGTAAGCCGATACACACGAAAGGATATACTATATGTATGGACACACACATTTTAGTTGAAGCTCTGGCAAAAGTGGCAGTGTATCACTTTAATGCCTCCTTAAGGTTTGTTATCAGTTTGCTCCAGACACTTTTGTCTTGCTGTGAGTGAGTGAGTTTGTGTGTGTACAAGATGTTAGCGCATGTATTTACTGCTGGGAAAAAGCATCATGTTTGGGTGTTGCCTAATGTGGCATCATGAGTTAGTGCAAGGAATGGGAGGGGAGAAGAGAGGAAGAAATAAGAATCAGGAGGTTGAAAGGAAAGAAGGATGGTAATGGAAACGAGACTAGCAGGATGAGAGGGATGCAGGGCGTTTTGGCTGTAAGAAACTACAGAAGAAAGATGAGGGAGGAGATCAGAATACAAACAGTGATCGCTACAAGGAGAATAGACGATAGAAACAGCAAGGGGGAAAGTGTGAAGGAGAGATTAAGAGAAAGAGAGAATGTGACAAAAAAAGAAAAATGGAGAAGAAGCGAGGGAGCAAGCAAAGAAGGGAAAGGGGTGTGTGAGAGAGGGAGAACAGCTTTGTAGAAGCAAATGGTTGGGGCTGATAAGACATGAAACACTTCACTCTGGTGCCAAAAAGGCAGAAATGACTTGCTATGTAAGCCAGTCAGCTAGCCTGGTGAGAAGACGAACCCCAATGCAATGGACAGTCAACTTAACTGTCCAGTCATTCATTCACTCCCCCTCAACCCCCCAACTGGATTACAGCATTTTAAAAGCCAGATTTTTACATAGCAAGAGACATCTCACCAGCCTGCGAGCTATCCGTTCACATGACCAGAGAAGCAAGGCAGGCAGTGAGTCACAGCCTTTGTCAGTTACTTGGTCAGGCAGTCCATTTATTAAGCAATTACTGCAATCACAGTACATAATCATCTATCCGGTCACATATTTGGCCAGTTGGTCAGTGCGATTAACTCCCAGCTATTTAGCCATAAAGAAAGCAGGGCAGTTCAGCAGTTAATAAGATTATTTGAGCAGCCAACCAATGACCAGAAGACGAAGACTGCCAGTCCTTCAAGTCCTCTTCAGTAACAGTCAGTCAGCTTGTCTGTCAACATATGAATCAGTCAGACAACTAATTAGACATCAAGGCAGACTAAGTCTAACCAACCAGCTGTGCACAATCCTTTTGGTTCGTTAAAGATTTGGTTTTATTTTTTCAATAACAATATTTTTTAGCTTTTGCCTTTTCTTTCTTTTAAGATTAGAATTGTTTAACTTAAAATCTAACTAATATAAAGTCAGATATATTGCACTACTATGATTATAAAGCAGGGGCATAAATAAGACACAGTCATGTCCTCATGGGTGTATCTGGAATAGAGTTAAGGACTCTTTAATAATGACCATAGGCAACACATCTAACAATCTGCCCTCATCTTTGCTCTGAGATCTGTGAGGGCTTTGTAGATGCACATGTATTCATGTGTTTGTGTAACTGGGTTTCTAATTAATGTTTACTTTAGCATTTGGGTCTTGAGGATGTCAGCAATATTTCCATTTTCGTGTAGGGTCAGCTTTGGAGTATTTTCTGGGATAGTTTTTAAAAAATGCTATTCTTTTACATGTAGAGTACACAAATGATCACAGTGTCACTGTGGAAGTAAGATTAAATACATAGAGAGACATGGAAAATAGCACTGTCTCATACAAATGCCCAACAAGTCACCTAAAATTATGAGAACAGGTTTACTTTACCCTTTTATTTTGATGAAGAGATAAAAAAAAACAAAACCTATCAGATGAGCTCAAATACACTAAAGGAAAGTTGACTGAGTAGGCATGACTGAATAGATTTACAGAGAGACACAGCATAGAGATGAAGACAGAGGAGAGAAAGGTGAGTGCTTAAAAAAAATGCCGGACTGACAGTGAAGACCTGTCACTCTCCACCTACATCTTCTCTTAAAAAAAAAAACAAGTAAAAAATAAAATCGAAATCTGATTAAGGCAAATTCTTCTGCAGGCAGTGTAACAGAGAGGACGGTGGTAGCTGTGTTGTCCTCAAAAAGAGAAGAATCTAAATTAACAGTGTTGTCCCACAGTCCGGTGACTTGTGCGACCAAATGTCAAACCTTGACAGACGCTGCAGAATCCATTGCAGAGCTTTCATCTGGTGTAGCTTTGTTACGAGAGGAAGACAGGAGCACAATGAGCAAGTCAGCCCAAAACCTCACAGGGCCATGATTCTCCTTCTCGCCTCTTCTCTGTGCCGTTATTTCTTAGCCATCTTCATCTAAGCAAATATATGATGTCAGAACCAAATAATTAAAAAAAAATGTTATACAGAAAAAAAAGAAAAGAAAGATAAGTCCTTTAAGAGCTTTAGAGAAACTCTATCAGGCTGTCTGTTCTCAGTCATTTTCGAGGGTCTGTGTTTTCTGTCTGTTGGTTTGTCTGCAGACTCGGCATCAGTGTCGCTGCAGAGGTTTCCTCATCACCAGAGGCTGCAAAGAGGAGGAGGTGGCTGAGCTAACATTAGTCAAGCCCTGCTGAGGTCACCATCCACAGAGAAATATGCAAAGACTGCAGGCATGGAGGTAGAAAACAAAGGTTTGGCGAGGCTGAAGAGGTGAGTACAGTTACAGAGAATCGAGAAGACGAAGGAGAGATGAGGGGAGTACGAGGACAGATGTGCTGGAATGTCAGATGAATGACAGACATATTATAGAATGACAGAGGGAAATAAACAACGGAAGCATGTACACACTGTTCACCATACTAATTTATTCATAACACCAGCTCTTCAACCAAAATGAGATTAATGTATTGACACAGTACAAAATAAACAGAAAACAGCACTGCACTGTCACAGATTACTAAATTGCCCTTTTAAGTATCTGATCTTGTTGATGTGTTTGTATGTTTCTCTTGCACCTGACTCGAGTCACCAAACCAAACACTGCAGTGTAGTTTGATATATTGCCAGCTGAAATGTGCATGGCTGAAGGTGAAGCTCAAACTGGGGACACCTAATCCAGCTGATTTAGTGTTTCTGAACTCTTTACAGCAGCATGCGCGGCTGTTTTCCTCTGCGCCAGCAGGAGTGATGACTGGATCTGGCCACCGGAGGCACTGTAGACTCACTGCACTCTCAAATCAACATCTTTGAGCCGTTGTCTGTTTGTAAGTATTTGCATGAGGGGAGGGCAATGGCGAAGTACAACTGCAGATATTTTGGTCACATTTGAGTTTTCTGGATGAAACGATGCAATGTGCCTTAAAACAAAACACCGAATTAAAGCCCGAGCATCTGTGGCTTGTTTTATCTCTGGGCTGAAATTAGTCTTTTGAGTTGCTTTCACTTGCATCACTTTGCATGCCAAATTGAATTAGACTGATTGCATTTACAGGAAGGGGATGGCCACCATAAAAACGCTGCAGATGGGTGAAGTGAAATCAAATGTAAGCGGAGGATGTGCACACATCCACCGATTAGCCCTCCTTTATCCTTGTTTGTAGAAGAAAGAGGAATAATTAAACTGGGCTGCAGAGCAGTGTCTATGTGAAAGCTATTAGAAGAGATTGGACTGAGGTCACTTCTAAATGGTGATCTGAGGTCACTTTTGGATTTGCCTACTAATGAGACATTAGTGAAATCTTCCAGCTGGACAAGTGCCACTCCCTCCTGGCTGTACTGCGAGGGCTCTATTGAACTCATCCAGCTCGTCCACTTCCAGGCTGATTTTTCTTTCAGTGTTAAAACGGTGCCATGTTGTGCCCTTGTTGGAGTTCATCCTCCAGCTTTCTGATGCTGAATGTATCCAAAAAGACCACAAAGACAGGTAAACCTCACCACAGAGCTGGACTTGAAGCACTATCAGTTCTACAGTATCCAAAAATTACTGTGGTAATTTCCCTCTCTACGAAAAGTGATTGCATGTGTTGACTGGTTACGATCGTGTGTAATCAGTAATCAGCGGACGCATTACCGTTTTCATTTGAATAATGTATGGCCCCCACCAATAAAAAGAAAACAAAGAGGGTCCAAGCTAAAAAAAACATTTCTTTTTTTGATAAGTGGAAGTTTCCAAACGCTTCCCATGGACGCTGAAACAATGGCTGAGGTGAGAGTGTGCCAGAGGCTGACTGGAAAGCCAGATTGTCCAGACATAAGGGTTCAATCGTCCTGTGAACCATCAGACGAGTCTAACAACACTTAAAAGGGGCACTTTAGCCTCGTATTATCACATTAATGTTGTGGCCATTGTTTCCCCACAGTACAGACTGCAATATTCATGGCAGACTCTATTAGCACTAAGGGATGACACATGCCCACTTCTCCTTTATTTAATTGTACTGAAAATAGCCCCAGTTCACCTAGAGGGTACTTTCAAGACACCCTTCAATGAAAAGGAGTGATGCGGCTAAAAAACAAGATTCTCACTTGCTATTAGAAGATAAAATGCAAAAGGTGGAGGCTAATCTGAGTATTTTTCAATATTCAAGAAACCAGCTTGAGATGATGTGAGCTTTCTGACATTAGGTCACTTCTAGTAGCTTCGACCACATGAAGATGGCTCCATGCTTTTCATCTTGTTTCAGCATAAATCAAGGATCATTAGACCTTCGATTGTTCAATTTTGATGAATCCTTGGGAATTGTAGCTTCAGTTGCTACAGCCAGTGTGGTTTCAAGGTTGGACATCCTGTGCATTAATGTTTTTATGCCTGTGAATCCTTTCGAACAGTTACAAGTGATATTGGGCTATACAATCAAACTGAATCGAATTGATGTGCTGCTATTTTGGCTTCAATGAGTGGTTACTGGTGTTACTGTTGCCTTGCAATCAGCTAGAAGTCAGGCAATTTTCCCCTCTGACCTCTGGCATCAAGGGATTATTACCCAAAGAACTGCAACTCACTAGATATTTTCTCTTTTCTGGGCCATTCTTTGTTGGCCCAGGAGGTCGTCAGTTTCTGAAACATCAGCAAGCTGGCGCCAACACCCATGCCTAATTCAAAGTCACTTAAATCCCCTTTTATCTCCATTCTGACGCTCACTTTAAACTTCAGCAGGTCATCTTGATTATGTCCATATGCCTGAATGTACTGAATCGATTCCATGTGATTGGCTGATTAGGTATTTGCATTATACCACTCGATCAGGGGTGCCGAATAAAGTGACTGGTTAGTGTGTATCCTATCCCCTGTGAAATATTCTAAGTGGGTGTTCTGAGAAATTCTCTGCCTATAGTTTTCCTATTCCATCAATTTCCACTTACTAATCTTGCTTGGAAAAAAATGTAAAATAAAAACTTATTTCATATGGTTATCATATTTTTTCTGGTGTGTAATTTTTTTTCAACATAAACTTCAAGTCTCTGCATACTTGCTCAAGTCAAATCAGGATTCTGGTGACATTAGGCTATGTAGTTTGGAACGACTGAGTGTCCGCGCTGAAGGAGAGCTTCACCCAAATAGCACCCAAACAATGGAGAAATGAAAACAGTCAGATGGTACATTACCATGATAGTTGTCACGACAACAGTCCGGTTCTCCATAGCCGAGCTGTCATTGGACAGAGCATTTTCATTCTGGACCAACACAAGTTTGTCTATGTCGTTCCAGTAACCAATCTGAGGTAAACAGAGGGATATATGGGAGTAGGAGAAGATGAATGAGAGGAATAAGAGAAAAAACATCCATGAAAATATAGTTTAATGTACTTTCAATCAGTTTTACCCTCGCACAATTTATGCAAAATGTAATTCGACATGCATGCAATACAATCGAGACAGAAAAGGTAAAACAGAATCATTAAAGGAAATGAGAAGGCGAAATAGGAGAAAATGAGACTGAGAGAGAGATAAATCAGATTGAGCAAACTCCAGGAAATTTCCCATTGGAACTGTAGGAGATATTGAGTGTGAGCCAAGAACCTTCAATAAACACACATTGCTGTCGAAGGAACAATTGCGATGCTGGAACATGGTGCTATATCTTTATTATTGGGGCTACATGTATGTGATTTTCCAGTATAGAGAATTTATAAGCTGTTCCAAATGACATCCTGTCCTCTTACTTTCTTCTCTTATTGAGACAGATTATGTTCAAACTTTACTTATTTATGTCACTGCAGATTTTATGTACCCCCAGGTTGCCTGGGAGCTGATCTCCAGTGTGTACTCCAAAAAGCCATTAATATACACAAGCTGTGATGGCTGGTTTGATTGCAGTCATCTAATGGTATTCATAATTGCAAACAGAAGTTATTAATTAAGAATTATGAAAATAATTATGGCGTAAATTATTTTTTTATGAATGGAGGCTGAATGAAGAATGAAGCACTATACAAATTAACAGGAATTGTTTAAATTAATTGTGATTTATGTATATATCCTGCTGAGGCATCGCATTTGCTCAAATTAAGATAAACAGCATTTTCTTTGCATTTTCCTGTCTTTTAACATGGCTTTTTAGAAACACGGTCTAAAATACTTTGCTCATGGTATTGCTGTGAGTATCTGGACTCAAAAATTTATAGTCCTTGTCTTTTTTTAATGCATGAGGAACGTTTACCTTGCGCGGGCCATTGCTCTTGAGTTCAAACACGTCCATCGTGTAATTCACCCTCCGACCGTAGTGATCAAACTGAATATTCCCAGTCAGGCCCTGAATGCGCACCTGGATGAATTGTAACAGTAGAAACATAAAACTAAAATAGTTCATACAGATGTTTAAGATCGCAGACACTCAGTGAACAGTCAGGAGTACAATAGGAGTGCTTGGGCTTCTTTTTTTGTCTTCATGGTGAAGCCAAGCAAGCGGTGCTTAAACAAATAGTTCAATAACTGCAACGGGATGTTGCAACAGAGACAAAATTGAGTTTCCATTAGCAATAATTTGATGCACAGTTAACATTAAGACTGATACCCGTTATTTATTTCAATTATGCCAAACGAAACGCTTGCATTGTTTCCTATGAACACTTTGTGCCCAAGCTGAAAACCTGAATTGAGTGTGGGAATGTTAGCTGCTGCCACTAAGCAACTATAAACAGAAGAATTAATGAATGCAAATACTTTAACGGTGCTGGGTTTTTGACCCAGTGTTTTGAGTTTGTTGTTTAATGTTCTCTGTTGATTCTTAGGTTGCCCCTCATTTGTTGTCATTAAGCGTTAGTTTGTCTTTGCTTTTAGAGGCCAAGTCTAATTAAAGTTAATATTGTCTCGTTTTCACTTTAAACATTACACTGAAAGTCTGAGGCAAATACCGCTGATGGGTAAGTACATGAGACATTAATATAAATTGATAAGATATAGAAATACGGCAGTACAAGTATAAACATAGAGACAATTGAAGTCCTGTTGATACAGTATTTTAAAACAACTGGACCAAAGCATTTATTTCCATAATATTTTGTTCTGTCATGTGCTGTTTTTATCATCAAATGGTTGGGACCTCCACAACTTTAACATTATGACCACAAAATTTCTACCGATTCACAACAGACAACAGCCGCAGTCCCTAACAGAGCATCCATGTACTGTATGCCTTATTTTCAAAATAAAAGCACTTGGATTTAACTTTCCAAAATAAAGGCACAAAACTAAGAGTTTATCTGAATGGTTTAATTAGTTTAGTTAGTGTTTAAAACCTTTTCAGTAATTTTTTCTGCTACCATTTTGTTTCAGATTATTTACAACCTATTTACCTCCAGCTTTTCAGGAGAAAGCAAAAAAAATAAATAAAAAATTCTACATCAGCAACAATCCTAGTCTTTCTTCTTTGTTTTGTTCATTTCATTTGTTTTTTGTGTGTTTACATGTGATAATGGATAATTCATTTAGCATTCACTCTATTATAAAATTTGTACACTATCAGTGAAATTGAGCCAACCTGTTTGAGCGCACGCTCCATATCTATTCCTTGGTTCCAAGGAGCAGCTGGATTGGCCAGACAGTCACCTGCATTGCCACGGCGACTGATATCGATTTTTTGACGGCGAAGGGTGCGGAAGGCTTCAGCCATTACAAGGACACCATCATAAGTCAGAGATGAGGTATACTGCGAAAAAGAGAGAGGGGACAAAGGTTACCTCTTTGACAAGCCTAAACTTTGTATAGAACTGTATGTATATCTTAGGTCCTTCATGTTATATAACTGATAACATAAATTGCCTAAAAACTGTTTTATTATCCTTTTGCATTAAAATGTTTAGTGTGAAGTATTTCAGTATATTTGTTGCTTTCCAAGAATGTTTTTCTACAACAGTATTACTACCCACTCACATCTTTTGACCAGGCTTAGACCATCATAACTCTACATAAGGGAACATGATCATTATGTAAACTGTGACCAGTGCCACAGTCTATCTCACTGCTCTGACTTTTATTTTATTTCTCCAGTAAATATCAATCAACACCACTATAAATGTAACATCACTGTAAATGTGCCAGGATTAGACAGAGTTACGGTTTTTAAATAAAGTCACTGTACGTGACATTGAAGCCATTTAAATGAGTTAAATTATATCATAAACGTGTTTTTCAAATATGCCATAATTCTTTGTCATGCTGATTGCCAAGGTTTACAAACGCTTATTACTGTTTCACTGGGTTGTATTATAAAATAGACTTAATACCTTTAAAATGACTTGCTATTAATTTTAATTCAATGTAAGACACTATCAGTGTCTGTGCTCTGATGAAACCCTGCAAGTGATGGTGGTCTTGACAGATTGCTTGACAAATTCATTATAGGTAAGACACAGCGCTGCAGGGAAGAATACACACACACACTCAGCAGCAACACCCCCACCCAGGACACACACAGACACGCAGCTCCACACAGATGGAGGCAGTCAAACACTCAGCAGGCTGCCTTCACATCGCGACAGAAAGAAGTGGAGGGATGAAAATGGAAGGATGCAGGCAAGTCGGCTGAGATTCTCTTGCCAATGCTTTCCACGCCTCTGCAGGTAGTTTCTCTCTTATTGACATCCCTTGATTTGTATCCCACAAGGTGTTTTTGCAAGGCTACGCAACTGTGTCATCCTCCTTTCATCTGTACCCTTTGAAACTAAGGAAAGCCTTTAGGCATGTGACTGACAGATGAAGACTATCCGAATCACAGAGAAAACAAAAAGTGAGCCAAGTAGTTTTCTAACTTTCAGTTTATGTCAGGAGCAGAGTACAAATGTTTTGGGGGCACAAAGAAACAGAATTACCTTTTAAAAACACAAAGTTTCAGAAAATTTTCCCCAGGATCAGATTCAATCTTTAAGTTTTTAAATGTGGCTTGTCAAACAGGATAAAACATTTAGAGAAAAATATCAGGGACCGGCTTTATGATTAATATATAAAGATGAACCAAGTAGTTTTCATTTTTCACACATATTTATAAAAATCTATGCAGCTATGACGCTTTGCAAAAAGTGAATGATCAAATCCCTCCTTTTGCAAGTGGAAGGACTTGAACATTGTCCAGTATAATCAAATGCAAGAAAAACTAAAATTATTTCTAGTAGCATTAGCTGTTATTTATCTTTAAAGCTAATAAAAATGCCATTTTGCTAACTAGCTAAGTTTGTGATGTAAACGACTCCATCCAATTCGAGCCAAAACCATATCTGACCTAAATTTCACTGTCTTTGTGTAGCTCTCTTATGGCTCCCCTGCTGTTTTCAGATCACTCCTGGAAGTATTCTGATGACTTCCACATCTGAATCTTCACCTCTTTTACTGTCACGCAAAGAACAAAAGAACAAAAATCAAACAGAGCAAAATTCTGCTGTTGGGTAGATGTTACAGCTAAAACTTGATCCTGAATAATTTTGGACTTGGTATTTGACCCTGACATTCACAGTCTGATCATCAGGTCAAATTCCTTTTCCACAATTCCCATGACTGTGACAATATGATGACTGAAAATACATGCTTCTGATTATTCTCTGGGTTTGGATGCTGCAGGCTGTTTCACTGAAAGCTGCTGTTTGTTTGCTGTCTTGTAGCCAAAGCCTTCCTTATTTAATTCCATGTATAGTTGTAATTTCCTGTTTTGAGAAGGGTTTTTGGTTTTCCAGATATCCAGGGTTGTTGAATCTGTTATAGATGTGTCCTTGCATGACAGCATTTAACGTGGTGTCATGAATAACACTGGCTGAGCACGAGTTCGTCTTCGTTCAGAGGGAGAACGGTACGGTCTGTGAGTGAAGGCTTTTACTGTTACGTTCTGTTCTAATTTTGTCTCTCCAGCATTTCCTTCTTTTTGAGACTTTGTCTGTTAGCTGTTTGTTACGTCCTGTTTTATTTTGTGAGTTGTTTGTCTCTTTTTGACTTGCTTTTAGTTTTACTGTCTTTTCATTGTCTTGCTTAATCTCAGCTGTGTCTAGTTCCCATTGTGTTTCCTCTCATCCCTGATCATCCCTCTGTATACAGTCCTGTGTCACTTTGGTCGTTTTCAGAGTGTCTGTGTTTTTACGCTTGTGTGCTCTTTTTTTTTTTTTTTAAAGTAGGGCTGCTGCCTTCTACCCAATATGAATGTTTAATTTTTTATCTTTTCCACCTGTAAGTTCTGAACCTGGGTGTCTTTCCTGTGACAATAGCTCAAAAAAAAAATGGATAAACTGGATTTGATTAAAAGCAATAACAAGAAAGATGGAAAACATCAGGATTGTGCAAGAAGTTAATAGACGAACAAAAAGAAAAAAAAAAATTAAACACTACATTGAAAAAAATATTAAATGAGTTTCTGAGAGGGAAATAAGATCTGAACATTTAATTTCATACCAGCAATAATAACTAAAAGTAGAATTTAAGTGAGTAAATCTAATGTTTACTAAGATTATTATCACGATGATCATTATTAAATCCTTCTTATTAATCATTTTGATTAAATCTGTTAACACAGATGTGGTCAACATTCATAAAGTCAGATCAAGTGTTTGAAAGAAATTTGGAAAAATAGTTTGTATCTCCTGAAGTGATCCTAATTATTATTTACAACATTTTAATGAGCTTAATATATTTCTTTGACAATTACTTTTCAATAAAATCTCCAAGCAAAACAAAGAGAAACCAGCAGTTAAGAGATTTTGATTGATGGGCGGCTCAAATTCCAGCCTCAAGTGTAGAAGGGACAATTCTCAGTAGTATTTCCCACCCTGCCCATTATCAGGCCACATTTTTATTTGGCCTAAGGCTACCAGTTGCCCCAAGGTTAACTGAGCTCATTTTTTTCTTTTTTTTACAGAGCAAAAATTAGCCAAGAGCAATTTGGAGGCATCTGTTGTCACGAGAGGTAACTGGATTTCTGTTACTGTTAAATCATTCAAATCATTGTTTCCAGGTTTGTAACACAGTATACGTACATGGCAGCAAAAGTAAATACATTCTCTGAATGCACTTAAACAAAGATGTTTAGAGGTTTTGAGATTTGAGCACTTACAGGTGTGTTTGCTTCTGTTTTGTGCATCAAAATATGTTCACTGTGTTTATCTGTCACAATCATGCATAATAGGCTTACCTCAATTAACACACTAAATGTTGTGTAAATGTTAAGGGACGATTGATGAAGCTGACATCTACTAATGAGAATTCATTAGGTGAATCTAAAACTGATGATTAGCTCATTAACACTGGGACTGGGTGAAAAATAGCGTGCCAATTAGAAATCGTAAAACCATAAATATATATTTGCATCACTGTTACTAGTTACTAGTAGTTACTGCATTACTGTGTTTTTTTGAGGATTATTGAATACAAACAATTTCAGCAAGCGGGCAGAGGGCTGACAGCTGATGTATTTTTAATGGGTAGGTGGACATTTTTTCTATAAATATACCCACAGGTCAGTGCTCTGTCAAGGGATTTAATTGTGAATATCTATAAGGAGCTAGAACTATAAAGGTTAAAGAAAGATATCTCAGAAAAGTGAGTAAATAGGTGAGAGAGCCGACACATGACAGCAGAATTTTATTCTAAACAGACACAGAACACCAAAGTCTTTAGTCTACATAATCTGTATGCATCACGTTAACCTTGAGACTTAATCACAGATAAGCCTTTTCACTGCCATATTCTGAGGTCATGCTCTGATTGGCTAAGAAGCTGTAACACATGCACCACATCACACTCTGAATGGTTCAAATACTGCGTATCCCCCTGTGGCTGGATACCTGATTGAAAACCTTCCGTGCAGCTTTTGCGTTGAATTTCAGGTACAAAGAGCAATTTGCACATCAATGGCAGTAATGTGTGTGCGCGCACTTCAAGTAACTGTTTATCTCAATACCATGCATTTTTGAAGTAAGTCTGAATGGAAGTCCTGCATTTTCTTCATTCCATATTTTGCTGTAGAATTTATTTCAGTGCTTCAGCTACCACACAAGACTATGTTTCAGGTACCGAGACCTCTGTCTGACGCAGATTTCCAAAATGCATATTCAATGATAGAGCAACGTGTTTTTATTACCTTAGGTGGGCTTTCAGATCCAGGGTATTCACGCTGATCGAGTTTGTTCCAGCGCTGCATAAGTTTTATGACAATAGGCTTGCTGAAGTCCACTAACTGGAACCCGGTCACATTGGCCCCGCCGTGCATGAACCTTTCCAAAGATATGTCCTTGAAACCCTGGGTAGACCAAAAGCATGACAGAAATAAAGAACTGTGTTTGGAACAATGTAACACAAAAACCACAAAAACCTTCAGACCAGACGATATAATGCAGTCCATATTCATCTTATGAAATATCCAATGAAACAACCATTTAATCAGTGTAAAGAAGGTACACTTCACTAATTACACATTTATTGCCTGAGATATCTTAATATAAGAAAAAAGTCTCAGTTTTTCTGATAAAGAAATGTGTTTTATTTTGTTTATGTATTTATTCTAACTGTGGAACCACTGTAAAAGTCAAACAAAACCCAGAACTTTCTACAGTAGATCATTTAATTGATTAACCGCTACTCAAGTACTTCGGTATCGTATGAATGGCCATGGGGGGGATGTCTTTATGAGCAGGAAAAGCTGTAAAACATAAAACTTTAGTTAAAAGTCCAAAGTTTAAGCCTTCCTTCACATTTTCCAAAACTGTCCAGTGACCCAGATTGGAGACCTTGTCGGCCCAATTCTGACCCCCTGGCCATATGTTTGAGACCCCTGGTCTAAGGTTCAAAGTCCTCCCACAAACTAAGATCTCCAGATTACATCCCCACAGTGGAAACTTTGCAACATTGAGGAATCACTAAAAGCAATGAAATTCCATCTAACCTGACCTACAACAGTTGAAAGCAACGCCAGCATCCTTACCAGGTTTGCTATGATGTAATGGTAACCTTTGACATGTTTCCCCACACTGACAGCCTGAAAAGAGAGAGGGGGAGAGAAAACGTGGATTTAATTTGGAAACCAGGGGAAAAGTAGCATTAGGGAGCACGACTGGGGTGACAAGGACAAAAAGGTGATTTCCTCCATCTCTTGCTCCATTACCTTCCTTAACAGTGGTGCTGTGGTTACTTTATTATGCTGATTAAAGGAGGATAAAATGATGAAGACTTTGGTACCATGCTGGCTAAAAACTCTGCAGACTTTTAAAATGTTTTAGTGATGCAGAAAACAGCCAGTACTTTGTCTTTTGGAGACATTCAAATTGAAATGATAAAATTTAATTTGTTCTGTTGAAATAGCTGCTTTTGAGAAATGTAGTTCCACTGAAAGAAAGCATATAATACTTGACCTAAACTTGAAAACAGGTCAAGTCTGACCCAAACACAATATATGGGTTATAAAAGCTGCAGATGATTTCACTCTTTTCATTTTTTTTGTTTTTTTTGTTTGCTATTTGATTTCAAACGTGACCTATAAGGTAAAAATATTTCTGCTCAAAACTAAAACCCGTGAGTTTTTGGTCACTGATATTATCCATATAGGGAAATGGAGCGAAAATACAGCAGACTGTGGGAATTCTGACAAAGTGGTCGAATGCATATTCAGATTAACAAGTGGCATAAACCTAATTAACAAACTGTTCACATTTTTCTTTGTCTCTCTCTCACCCACACATATCAGCGGCTTTGTACTGACGCAGACAGATGTACGTACACACACGCGCGTGCACACACAAAGATCGCAGCTGGCAGGGGCAGACAAACAGAGCAGTCTCTGTCTCAGAGCAGGGATGCAAGCCAGTGCCAGCTCTGCAGAGCTGACTAGTGTGTGTGTTTGTGTCTGTATGCCCGTCTCAGTACACATGTGTGCGTTTGTGCGTGCACCTCCTGTCTGTCTGTTCACTCAGCACAGAAGCCAATTAAGAAACAGTCTGTGTGTCTGAGATGCCGCTACTAGTGTGGGTTTGTGTCTGTGTAGCTGTATGACTATGTGCATTGTAATGCTGTAATTTTAGCTTTTTTTTTTTACATATATTAAATTTCTGTGTGTTACCAGTAATTGTAGGAGTTTCTGAGAGGTATGTGCATTAGTGAATGTGCTTGTGTGTATGTTTGTGTTAGTGAGTTTATCACATATGCAAAGTGAGGATCATATGTAATGACAGGTGGCAGGACCAATGGGATGTTGCAGCCCTGAGTCACACGCTCTCTCTTTCTCACACACACTCCTGAGACCTGTCAGAGCTCAAGACTTAACCATCAAACAAGACAGACAATCTAATGAACTCAGACAGCCATAAGGTGTCCGAGCGCATGCCTTGATATTTATTACGTGGGTATATGCTTGAAATCTGTGTGCGATAGCACTCTTTACTGTCATTACTGCAATCACACACTGATGTAGCTGTTGGGGAAGTCACAGTTTTTCATTCCACATTTACGAACTCCAGGGAAAAACTCAAATCTTGTTTTCTTTCCAGATGTCAGAAAGCATCAGGCGAGCTGCTGCAACCAGCTGAGTGGAGCAGACAGTCGGCAGACACTAGTGGTACGGTGAAAAATCTCCATTATGTGGTACTACAGTCATTAGTAACTTAACTTTAATTCTAATTGTTTTCACTATTTCTCACAGGGTCTCACCTCATTACTTAACACAACCTATTATGTGGTTAAAAGGATCTAAAAACGCATCATTGTGCTTTGGCTGTATCTCATTAAGTGTTAAGTGCAGGTCAGTAATGTCATCTCTGCCCTCACTCAGTGATATTTGGGCAGCCATTAACCCTATCTCATGATCTTGTTTAGCATCCAGATCAGTGTCAGACCTCCATGCACCAGCAGTTGGATAATTCTTTTTTTACATTTTAAAAATTCCTTTTATTACTTGTAACCAGGGACTGTAGAGTATTTATATATGTTGTAAATGTAATGTAGCCATTAATAAATGGCAATAACAACCTCAAACTTACTCTAAAACAGAATTATTTAACATTTAATAGACCTGTTAATTATTCCATGTTTTTCCATCCTGCTAAGTTATCTGCACCACAAATCTCTCCATATTCAACCTCCATACTCAACTAACATGAGTTACATGGTTTGCTGGCTTAAGCACTATTTTGGATTTTAGACTGAAGTATTCACAATCTTGTTGGTTAAATTTCCCAATAACAGTACCTGTTCCAGGATGCTCTGTAGTCTCTCAGGCTCCAGGTCAATGACATATTTTCTCTCCTGCCGTCGATCCAGGTCCTCTAAGAGTCTCCGATACGCCGCCTCATTGAAACTCTCCACACAGATTGCACTCACCTGTTTTTACATGTCAAATGCGCGCAGGAACACAAGAGAAGACATCATGGATAGAGTCATGCATGTAAACCTCAAGCAAATGAAAAAGCTATTTGAAGAACTAATCACAGAAATGTGAATACACAGCATGGGAGCACAGTGTGTGCATGTGGATGTTTAAATTAATATACTAGTTGTGCGCTCTGAGAAAGCATGACAATTCTTGTGCATGTGTGTGTGTTTTAGCAGGTTTCCAAGAATTTGCGCATTTGTGTGTGTCCTGACCTGCCATCCGTTCTGCCCCGCTCGCTCCATAATTGCCTGCAGTATTGCATAACCTAAACAACAGAGAGTAAGGGAAGCAAAAAAGAGAATTAATGCTGCACTAGGTACATGATGCAGTTGAAAAATGGATAAATTATGCTTTGCTGTTTTTTCCAGAAAAAAAACTAAATAAATAAAAGCGCTCGTGTTTTCAAAATCTGTTATCCTAATCATAGTTGAGGTAAAACCTTTGCACACTATACCAGAATTAGCAAAACCATTTCCAGGTGTGCATTACGCTTAAAAACTAAGGGCAAAATGCTTAGCATTTAACGCATCTTCAACTTAATTTTTTATCTTTCAGCCTACAAAGTGTAACGTCTGAATTGTCGAATTCTGATACTCAGTGTTGACATTCTATTGAAATTAAATTCTCAATCCTTTTCCCCCTTAAGAGTAAAATAGGATTAAAAAGTAATTCATGTGTAAATACTTAGTATTTATAGTCTGGAATCAAAACTATAAAATGGACTTCTGCTTCTACAATATGAGGCAACACACCTTTGAACAGGCTGTCTTCTTAATGTGTTTCTAATGAATCTGACTTGATCAAACAAGCAGAAGGTGTCAACATGAGTGACAATGGATATAATATTACACCGAACAAGTGTCATGTTGGGTCAAGACAAATGGGAAACATGTAATAATAAGTAATAACACAATGCAACAGCAATATTCTTTCTTAATATTGGCATGCGGCCATGTTTCTATCACAATGAGCGCTGAAACAAACCTTGATGCTAACTCTCTGAGCAAAGCAGATTCAATCAAAATAAAATGATATCACAATTCGCTGAAAGTCACATGGACACAAAGGCAGAGAAACACGAGTACAGCGGGAGTCTTCTAAAACACAAGACGAGAAAGCACACACTCTAGTTTGACCTTTTTAACCACTAGACTGATGCTATATAGAATCATACATGTGTCTAAATGAAAATGTCTGTGCCTAAAACTTAACCTAAAACTCTAAAAAGGTAAAACTTGGTGTAAAAAATAACCCAACTTTTGGAGAAAAATAAACTGACAAAAAAGATTTTGTGAACTTACGAAATTCACTAAACTAAAAGAAAATATGTTTTTGACATTTTGTTCACATGTGTCATCACAACCTGCCTGGATGAGACTTTGCTGATTTTGTTTATTAAGAAATTAGCAGGTGTGCGTGACCTGGAGTCAACCGCCTTCACAAAGTGCTTTGTTTTTACTGCAATAACCAGTTTAAGACTAGCTAATAAAAACTAAACTAAAAATCATCATTTTGCATTGCACCCTGCCTTTCGCCCTGTGACCGCTTTAGCACACCTGCAACCCTGAACTGGTGAGGCAGAAGAAAATGAAAGAGTGGATAAAAACTAAACTCAAATGAGCTTATCTGCTTCAGAAACTAAACTGTATTGAACACAAAAAAAATCGAAATGAAATCAGAATTAAAACTAATTGCAGAATACAAACGGATTATATTGTAAGTTACTCAGGTGTTTTGCAGTATGTGTGCCTTCCTATGTACTGTTTTTACACATATTATCTAATGCTTTCAGAAATGGGCATGCACTAATGTAATCTATCTGCATTTGTCTGTGAATGCATTTGCCTTTGCATGCACATGTGCAGTTCTGTGGACATCCACAGTTCGTGCCTCTGTGAGTGCGTGTTAGCAGCTGTCTCTGGAGCAGAGCAGGGTGCATAAAACAGATCACAGTGTTACTGCCTATTTTCCAGCACATTACAGGCAGCAGGTCTTGATGGGAGCCTGTAATGAAGGGCCCTGCCTTGGCCAAGTCATGGGTGAGTACAGCCCAAATTCTTACGCATCCATCTTTCGCTCCATTTCTCCCTCCGATCCCCCTTTCTCTCAAACATTCCCCCTCCTTCCTGTGCTATATGCTACTGTACATCCCCAGAGGCTTGTGATTTTGTCTGTCAACTTATTCCTCCTTTCTGTAATGCTCCCCCTGCCATCCTCCACTGCCCCCCCATCTACCTCCACTTTCTCCTCTTCCTAGCCCTTGCCCCCGTCACCTTGTTTGTCTCCTCCTGTCATGACTCACAGCTAATTTTCTGTCTTTTTGACTTCGCCACCAGCACAACTGACCTAACCTGTGTTTCCTGTTCCCCCTTTTCCTTCCTCTTTTTTTCCCCTTTTGCTCCCCCAGGTAATAACTTAAAACAACGAAGGCCACAGGATGCTGGCTGAGGCACCTACACACGTGCACACACACACCCACTATAGTACGGTCTGGGGACTTTACGTCATGTTTGACCTGTGTTTCACTCCCTGTGGCTGGGGATTAGTCTGTGTGGGACTGTATGTGTGTGTCTATTTGTGCACACATGTAGGTGTGTGTGAGAGAAATAACGTGCCAAGCATCCCCATGACAGTGGTTAGGGTCTGAGGGCATCAGCTGTGCCTGCTCCACTAACTTGCGTGTGCTGCATTATGGCATGGTCGAATCAAAAGCAGGTGAACGCCGCGAGAGCTGAGGCCAAATCTTTGTTTCTGGCTGAAAAGTGCCAAATCACCACTGTTTCAGAATCAGAATCAGAATCAGAATCAGAAAGGGTTTATTGCCAAATGTTGAGCAGGTTTACAACATTAGGAAATTGCTGCGGTGCTTCAGTGCAAACATACTGTCATAAATTACGCTTAAATAGACATGAAAAAAAAAATAAGAATAAGAATTAAAAGTGCTACGTAGAAAGATATATACATGAGTGCAGGTGGTGATCAGTGCCAAACATGGAATGATGCAGTGAACACAGCGTAGGGTCATGTGTTAGTGGTGGGAACAGTCATACGGTTATTGTTCATGTGTCCAACAGCAGAGGGGAAGAAACTGTTCTTATGGCGAGAGGTTCTGGTGCGAATGGACCGGAGCCTCCTGCCTGAGGGGAGCAGGTCAAACAGACTGTGTCCAGGGTGAGAAGGGTCAGCTGAGATCCGAGCTGCACGCCGCGCTCCTTATAAAGTCTGCTCATTAATAATAATAATAATGGATTGGATTTATATAGCGCTTTTCAAGGCACCCAAAGCGTTTACAATACCACTATTCATTCACTCTCACATTCATACACTGGTGGAGGCAGCTACAGTTGTAGCCACAGCTGCCCTGGGGCAGACTGACAGAAGCGAGGCTGCCATATCGCGCCATCGGCCCCTCTGGCCAACACCAGTAGGCAGTAGGGTAAAGTGTCTTGCCCAAGGACACAACGACCAGGACAGAGAGCCCAGGGATCGAACCGGCGACCTTCCGGTTACAGATGCGATTCCCAACCCCCTGAGCCACGGTCCCATTGCACAGTAATAACTTTTGTGCCATTGAGAACAAGGGCTATTGGGAGTTACTTTATGAAAAAAAAAACAAAAAAAAAAAGAGAAGAAAGGGTTATGGGTAAGAGGGGTACGCCCTTACTGCTTTTATAGGAATTAAGAGGGTCAGTAGCAGCTGGGTGCTGCTAATCAAATGTCCTTGATTAACTGATCATCTGCAAGTCTGAGCACCTCTATGAAAGAAAAAGTTTTGACAGTTGAATGTTCTGGAGGATTCAGGAATGTTTTAGCTCAATGCTGCAATCCTCCCAGGAGCTGACGTCCCAGGAAATCCACCATATAGTCAAACAATACAATGCTCGGCCTTAGAAATGCAAAACACCTCCAAGCAATATGTCTCAGGGTCTATAGGCCTCAGTAAGTGTGTTAAATGTTAAAGTTTGTGACAGCACAATTAGATGAAGATTGACGGGTAAAAAAGTACAACTTTTTTTGAAAGGCTGCCATGAGAAAGCCCCCCCTTAAAAAACAAAAACAAAACAGGGCTGTATGACTTAGGTTTGCAAAGATGCTTTTGAAAAAAAATGTCAAGGCTTTAGTGCTTGCATTGGAAAGACATGACCAAAGTGGAGATGCCCAGCAAAGTGCCAAGATTGGTGAAAACCAAACACAACATATCAGCACAAACACCTCATGCCAACTGTTAAGCACAAGTATGGAGGGTTGATCATTTGGGGGCTTGTTTTGAAGCCACAGGACTTGGGTCATCCAACAGGACAATGATCCCAAGCTCAGCAGCAAATCTATAACAGATAGGCTGTAAAAGAAAAGAACCAAGGCGCTGCAAAGACCCAGTCGAAGTCTAACCCTCAGTGAGACGTGTGAGGTACCTTAAGCAAATGCACGCAAACCTCAAATTACAACATTATAAAGCAGAGCGAGCTAACCACAGCAGGTCTTTATCCTGTCTCACCCCCCAGTTGGTCACGGCCGATGGCTGCCCCTCCCTGAGCACGGTTCTACTGGAGGTTTCTTCCTGTTAAAAGGGAGTTTTTCCTTCCCATTGTTGCCAAAGTGTGTGCTTATAGTGGGTCATATGATTGTTGGGTTTTTTCTTTGTATAATTGTGAGGTGTTTACCTTTATAATATAAAGTGCCATGAGGCAACTCTTGTTGTGATTTTGTGCTATAAAATAAAACTGAACTGAATTGAATTAAATGTGAAATACTAAAAATCAAAAAGAAAATTATTACCTTAATTTTTAAAAATTTTTTAACACCAAGGATGGATCCAGAAGCTACTGGATCATGTGGTGTATGTAGTATTAACAGAATGGCATTGAGTCCTATGAAAACAATGACACACCTGCCCATTAGCGCTTGGATTTTTTTTCTGTGCATCATGGCAACCCATGTAATTCTGTAAGTACATAATGCTTGCCCAGTTATGTTCCAGTCTTTTAGGCTTTTCTAGTTGAAATTGACCATTTTACTACATTACAGACCCTTTTAAAACCTTCCACAAAATCTTCTCTGACTTTGCTCTTTAAAACTCCGAAGGAACAAAAGTTAAGTAGAAGAAAATGAGAAGTGGTCAGATTTTGTCTTGGTCATAAGACCACTATATATTCGAGCTGTTTTTACATGCAACATTAGCGCAGTCATTGCTGGGCATTTACCTCTGTCTGTGTCGTAGAGGAAGACAAATCGGCTCCAGTCATAGTGGTCCAACAGGGACAGCAAAGCTCCTCTGATGGACGGCCGAAGCTGCAGCGTGAACTGGCCCTCGCCTTCAGTGGGGAAGCTGGGTGTCACTAGGCTGATGTGCAGGGCCCCACAAAACGATGTCAGCGTGTTTACTGAACGCTTGTCGTAAAGGCCGAAGATAGCGAAGACCCCCCTTGAATACTGAGAACAGACTGTGGACAGAGAAGAGGTGGAAGATGGAGAGGGGTCGGGGGATAAGGTGTCGGACACAAAAGGGATCCAGGTAGAAGAAGGAAAAAAAGTGGGTAAGTCGACAAAAATACTATATGACACTATATAATACTCAGTGACTCAGCTGCTAGAGAAACGGTCCAAAAACAGCAAGAAGGGAGGATGGAGAAGCCCTTAATTAAATTCACATTGTGGAATCGGGTTTCACATGTGAACCAATTTTAATGAGAGACGGCTTCAACTTGTGTCAGCTATGCACTAACTTTACACTCCTAATTAGACCCACAAACTGCATTTTTTCTTTAATTTATTTTTGAGTTGTGTGTGTGACTGATTTTGCAAATGCCTAATGAAACAGAACAGATCTTGAAAATGCATCAGTCATTTTCACATTAGACTGCCTTTGCAAAATGACTTTTATTTCACCCAAAACAGGCCCCAACACAATAGCCCTCCCTGCCGCTTCTTATGTACTTCCACATGTAGTTATAAATTACAAGCACAAACATTTGCAGGGGCATGGGTTGAAAACCAGACGCCAACCTAAGCTCCCTGACAAGACATTTTCAAATGCTCACACAAAATCGTTCCCAGTTGCCAAAATTCATGTTGCTTCTTATGCCTTTTTTGAGAAAATTAAAATGAAATCCAAACTCCCAACAGCTTTTAGATCCTTAAGATCCATCTCTGCACACATACAGACATGCAGAGCCAAAAAAATAAATAAAAAATCCGAGACCAAGCCACGAGTTCACTTCAAATATAGTCATTTTCTGCTACAGCACTGCAGCTCAGTCGCCAAACATCCGGAAGCTTTCAAACATGACAGAGAGAAGAGTAAAAAGCTCTGACATCTTCCGCTATGTCGCTTCTGCAAAATTCTACCCTCTGCTTTGTTTTGTCATTCATCTTTGTAGCTCAACCAAGAAAAAAGCATTTGGTATGTGAACAGAGGAATCCTCCATATTCTCAAAAAAAGAAGAGGACACAGAAATTAAGCGAGTGAAGTCTAAGAAAACTGTGTCATCATTTATTTCTTTTTATAGGATTTAATGTTTCACTTCGGCTGCCCACTTTCTCTTTTATCCTCTTATTCCCTCCTCCTCTTTCTTTTCTAAGTCCCATTCTTGCTTTCTTTCAAACAGCCATGTTTTTAGACTTCAGCTCTACCCTGCATCATAATTCATTCTCCGCCCCATCATACGTCACACTGGAGTAAACAGTAAGGCACGAAGACTGCGGGGTTTGCTTTTGGCAACTGTCAGGCATTACTCTAAATTCTTTCCTGTCTTTCTCCCTCTATTTATCTTCTTGTGCATCACATCACCTCATACCTTTGCCCCTTTCTTTAGTTTTCCAGGCAGATGCTCCATCCATCCTCTCTCTTTCAGCTTCCACCATCATCCACTTTCCTTCATCTATAGCTGCCTCCTCTTCCTGTTCCTCCTGCTCTCCCTCCCCCTGGGACTCAGAGTAATTCCATTATCAGCTATAAGCCTCAGTGGGGGTAAACACTGAGGGAGATGCAGCTTTGACGCTTGGGCTTGTGGCAATTAAACAAAGCTGAGGCCCCTACACCCAGGAGGCGATAAGGCAGGGATTTAGTCTCTGATTATGACAGGAGCTAAATGTCTTCAATTCAGAGAACTAGCATACTAGACGTACTTAGCATGCGTCATTCAGCAGTAGCTGAGTCATGGCGTTCTTAAAGTCAATGTTCTTAGTGTCTTCACAAATGAGTTTTACAACTTTTTCCCAGATTTCGGTTGATATTTCAGTGCACATGAGCGTAACATAAGCGATGCTGAAATGAGGTTGTGTTATAAGATAATAAAAAAAGATTGTACTTTTTTAGTGAAGTGCCAGGAAAGTGCAGTACTTGGAGTTTCATCTATTATAAATGCTAAAGAAAATCCATTTGTATGTATAAATCTCAGTACAACTGGCTTGATTTTGGATGAATTTGTGGTAAAAGGATCAACTATTTTGAGTTAAGGAAAAAACCCAGCAGAATGAGAAATAATAGAACTGAAGCACTGAACATGTGAGTTGACATCCTGGGTAGCAGATTGGAGCAGAGCTCCTGTGCCAGCTGATGACTTCTTTTGAAATGTGACTGAAACTTCTGGCTTAGATGCAGCTTATGACATCACTTGTCTTCAAATTTGAATTTTCCATCTACCTCATGGGCCTCCATCAAAACCTAAAGAAATATTGATAGCCTTAATCCCAAACCATTCTATTTTTATACAATACCAAGACAGCTGCAACTATACACACAGGCCCAGAGCACATAACTGAAATCCCACTTTTCATTCATCTGAGCTTTCATTCTTAGCTTCTGTTCTCCGTCTATCGCTTCTTCTTTTTTCTATTCGTGCTTCCTGATGTTGGTTTTGCCTTTCTTACACTCACTGTCTTCCTTTCTCTCTTGATTCCCTTTCTGATCTATGCCTCTATTGGCTTTTTTTTTTTTCTAAAACCCTCTCCACCAACACCACCCTGCCGCAAGTCTGGAATGTGCCAGACAGTGGCGTCATTGTAATAAAATGTGTGCTAAGCTTGCTTCATAAAGCTTTAATGAGAGGAAGGGACCAGCGGCATGGTACATCATCACCACAGTTAAAGCACTGGACACAATAGGTCTCCAGGGACATCTCCTACATTTACATCTAGTTGCTCCCCCTTCACTTGTTCACGAGCATCTCCTTTTTTGTTAATGTACAGTCTGTTTTTTGATTCTTAATTACTCGCTCTGTCTGTCAAACATCTCTGTTTCTCTGCGCATACCCCTCCATAAATCTGATGTCCTTCCTTTGTCTGCATTACTCAAGCCTCTACATCCACGGCCGTCCATGTTATTCTCTGATTTGTATCTCTGTGCTTATATAGAAAGCCCTCTCAATCATCTGCATACTCTGCAAAATCACTTTATTTCTTGTTTTCACATTCAAATTTGTCCAATTTGCATAACAGGGAAGAAAGAATGTTGCTGAAACAGTACAATAATTCACAGTCTAACAGAGTCGCTCTCTTTGCTTCTGGTGTTGTTTGCTCTTTAACCATTTTCCCTCTCAAATTCCTCACCATGATGCTGATGTCTTTACGACAGCTTCTTGCTTTTCTTTTGTTAACATAGCAGAGAGAATAGTTACCTTCTGTAATTAAATCACGTTGGATGTGCATGAAATTCAAAAACTTAATTTGTTCTTGTTCAGATGACATGATACAATCTAGGAAGAGTGGTTAGTTGCCTGGACTCACGAAATTCACAAGATTACATGAGATGTCAAACCACAGGAAGAGGCAGACAACCATACACACCACGTGTATTGTATGTATTACTATTTATTATGGTTTAACTTGTCAAGGACAAAAACATAAAGAAAATTCTGCATCAAGCATAGCTTTCCTACTTTTGTTGAGTACCACCATGGTTCAATGCCATGGTGGTACGTGCTGTTGCCTCAGAGCAAGAAGGTCCTGGGTTCAAGTCCACAATCTGGCCAAGTTTGCAATGGGTTCTCTCTGCGTACTCTGGTTTCCTCCACAGTTAAAAGTCATGCAGTTATTAGGGTAAGTGTAATTGGTGATTCTAAATTACCCAAAGGTGTTAAAGTGCAAATGGTTGTTTGTCTCTATGTGATAGTCTGGCGACCTGTCCAGGATGTACCCTGCTCCTCTTACCCTATCACTTCCGCAGCCCAGATAAAGATAAGAGGATGGGTGGATTGGAAGTTGCTCTAAATCCGTTGAATTTTTTTTGTTGAACATTATGTAATATGAACACAACATGCACTACAGACAGAAGTTACATTTGTTCATTCAACAAGATTATCACTGGTGTAACAAACAAATGTTTTACTAGTTCATGTAACAAGACTGACTTTTCACTTGCCAAAGTGTTTAAACAATATAACATGACTTTAAATAAATTTAAGTAGACTAACTTGGTACAAACAACAACAAACATATATTGTGTGGAAACAACACAATCAAGATGGATTAATATAACATGATTTGTTTAGATGGAATATAAGTGGCAAGATAAAATTACGTTCATCCAATGAATTGTTTTTTTTGAGTGTATGCATATACAGACCCATACTGTAGATGCTGTAGTTACCTTCACACACAAGCATCCCTCCATCCTCCAAAGCACACATGCAATTCTCAGTCTGTGATCTCCCATTATCTTGAGGTAAAGGCCAAAATAAAGCACACACATGAGCAAATGAGGAGTACAAGCTTGTTTAAAAGCCATAAGGTGCATTTTCCCTGACATTGCCTGGGGCTGCCTACAGGATAGAGCAGTAGTACCCGAGAATGGGGTGGGGGGGTGGGGAGTGGGGACGTGGTGAATACCAATAATCAACTTTATGTGCAATATAATTATAGACAAATGAACTGCACAATGGCTTACACTGAAAGTTCACGTTTAACTCATTTACCCAGGGGTAAGCTCTGGAGAAGCAAGCTCCTGTGCTTTTTTGTTCCAGCGCAGCAAAAGTGAAAGTTCAGATTTTCAAAGAAAAAATATTTAACTGCTTGAGGATGATCCTTTGAACAGTAAAATGTCCACAGTGACTGAGACTCCTACTGTATGTGAAATTAGTTATTCTATTCAAAAAACACATTGTGCCAGTTAGGGTTAATGTTCATTTTTTGCTCTGGTAATTTCTAATGTCTTGCTCTGACCTGTACTTCCTCCCTGGCTCATGTTCCTGATTGTCATCACCTATCTCTTGTTACCCAGCTGTATCCATTCCTGCTGATTATACCTCTGTGTGTGTATGTGTGTGTGTGTTTGTAGCCACAGAGTCTTTCTTGAGTTATCTGATCCAGCTTTGTCTGTTTGTGGAACTCCTGGTTTATTGTGGTCTCTAAAAACCTAAAAAGAACCCACACAGACATGTGGAGAACTCCCCACAGAAGGGACCCAGCCACCAGTGGGTTCAAACCCAGGGGCTTGTTGTTGTGGGGTGACAGTGCTAACCACTGCACCATTCTAGAAGTTTCATTTATTACACACTGAAGCACTACATTTGTATGGGCATCAAAAGCTCTGTTAAAGAGGACCATTATAAAGACAAGATAGAAGTTTGGAGATCAATAAAATCTGGCAGAGAGCAAAGTCACTGTATGGATTTCAGATTAGTTCCCATATAATACACCATACTGGAGATTATGACACAATGGAGCAACTCCTTGCAAAAAGCTGCCGGCACCACAAAGGTTAGAAAAGAAAAGAAATTTCATAATATGCCTGTAAAATTGTTTTACTGTTTTCTCCCATTTGGTTCTTTAGAATTGTTGTCTGAAGACCAACAAGGATACCCAATGGTATGTTTTCAATAAAATCATGCAACAGTAAAACACATGAAACACTTTTTCCCACAGCTCTTCTTAAAAAGCAAACAGGTTAACAGATGCTTCTGTAATAGACAATCATGCACACTTTTTACACACGTTTATTTTTAAATCAAGAAAGCAGCTTTTTATCCACTCTATTTATGAGCAGAAAAGAAAAGAAAAAAGGTATATGAAGTCAGGCTAAAAGCCTAAAGATTAATATTCTTTGAGAGAAAATGCTCACTACTTTATAAAATAGATCAAAATTAGGAGGCATCCGAGAGCTTTTTAAGCAATGGCCAATTGTTCAGCACCAAAATAAAGAGGTATGCACAGCAGTATAAGCAATATAAGCAAGAGGCATAAACGAGTTATGAAGAATTAAATATTTTTGTGGTTTTCTTCCCGGAGACATTATTATAACGCATTCTTCTCCCTAGAAGAGCTACCTAAAGAGTTTTTTGAATCTCATGGGATATGTTTATCCAGTTTAATAAAACATATTTATAATGCAAAAATCTGCAAACATGCAGAAAACAATTGATCAGACATTTTCAGGGACACCATGCCTCAAGTGGGCTAATTAGTAGCATTATAAAGACATGATAAAAGATAAACCTTGAAAATCAATAGTCTGGGAAGAACATTCGACCACCTTATGGATTTCATATCGAATCCTCTCCAGTAGAACATAGCTAATAGGATAACTGAGCCACAACAGCTTCATAAACAGGGGCAGTGATTATTGAGAATGATAGATTGCTATGTACCCTACTGTGTGTGTGTGTGTCTGGTTTTGCTGTGCTTGTGAATAAGGCCATTCATTTCTCTGTCTGCCTACTTCTCCCGTCTATCTCGCTCTGTCTTCCCTTTTTTCTTCCCTCTTTCACAAAACTGCCTCAAGCAGAGAGAAAACGGAGGCTTCGGTTGTTCTCAGTGAGGGAAGGAAAGAAGAAATGGAGAGAGAGAGAAAAGCAAGAGAGGAAGAGAGTAGTTCCAAAACCCACGAGGGGCTCTGACAGCAACAAGAGAGTGTAAAGTCTGCCAAGCAGACAGTGCAGAGGAAAAGAAGAGGTAGAGAAAGATATTTACAAACAGAGAGAAAGAGAAACTGAGGAAATACTGCTCTGGAGGGCAGTGAAGGAATAGAAAAGGCTTGGAAATTAGTCCTTAAATGCACTCATAGCCATTTGAATGTGTTGGGAGTCAGGTCTTCACATTAATAAACACAAGCACACACTGACGTTTACACTAACACACTGACACACACCGACACACACACATGCACAGCTGCTTCAAAGAGCATTCATAATATGTCTTTTTTTAGGACCAGTGTCTGAATACAGGGTTGAATGTCGGGTCAGGGGTGAGGGACATCAGGAGAAAATGCTCCTGGGTAGAACTACCACACTTACTTCTTTATTCTCTTTGATTGCATCTTTCTGCTTCTCTGCACCTGTTCATCCTCCTCACTCCTCCCCAGCTCCTCCCCCAGGGTCTGTCCCTGAGGCTTCATGAATAAAGCTTCTAAGAATAAGAATAATGACTGGGGAAAATGAGGACAGGTACCCAAGAGAGAGGCAACTACAGTACTTGTGTGGCCTTTAGTGTTATCCCATTTAGGGAATACTAATAGTTGGTGACACTATGGCTCACTCCCTGCTATCAAATATATGTAAAAATAAATACTTGGACACTTTAGTTCTTACTTTCGGATCATTTATCCTGTGACTAAGGTGAGTTAAATGTTACTAATTTTCTGTAGTTCACAATGAGTTGAGGTTATTGGCTGTCTATCTCAGTCACCTAGAGAATATGTTCATATAGAGTAAATATATTAGCAAATCTTACAGTGCATTTCATTTGCAAATCCACAGGTTTTTCTTTTACAGTGAAATTTCCACTTGCAGAAAGAAAAGCATCAATGATGGTTGATCCTCACGGTTGTTGCCCTCGCAAGCGATGTTGAAAGTGATGACACAGCTTCTGAGGCAAGTCACGCTTTGGTGTAACTTCAGCAGCTCTCAAGTTTTCTGTCCTTGTGTGAGTATACAGTCTTGTTGGTAAAAACCGATTTTTACCGACAGGATCGTATAGACTTATATCAGTGTAGGAGCTTCTCAAGGAGTCTCACATTATGCTGTGGGAGATGTTGCAACAGCCTGAAAAGACATTCTGGAGAAAACTAAACAAAAGAAATATTTGCCATAGTTTTGCTAACTTTTTTGACTTTTTCTAGTCCTACATCAACAAAGGCTTTTTCTTTTTGGTGACACTTATTGTTCCAGAAAAGACTGCAGTGAGCTCAGTGTGCCTATAAGAGCGAATGCGAACAGCAATGGTCTGTGGCGACGTCACAGAAGGAGTGCAACAACAAACAATCAGTGCGGTGCCCAAGAACCTGCCATAAATGTTTGTTGAAGCAGAGGTTATGATCAGTGATGGGAATAACGACATTACAAGTAACGGTGTTACTTTTTTCAGTACTATTCCCATCGTTACAACGCCGTTACCGTTAGAGAGATTTGTGACGTTTAGCGTGTTTGGAGTGTGTAGTTAATGTGTTGTCTTGTGTAGTTAGTGTGTAGTGTTGTGGATAGTTTTGTGTTGTGTTTCAGAACAATGAGGCGACTGCTGTCTCCAGGTAGAAAAAGGAGTGATACACCTGCTGTCAGACCTGCAGGTATCAGGCTGTGATGTTCTCCTTTATAGTGGACGGAAATTATTTTTTTGAAGTGGCACAAATAATTTGTGTGGCATTTTATTGAATGCAGAACAGCTGATTGTTCTGTAAATAGTTTGAAATGGTTATAACAAAGGGTAAAATGTAAATGGCTGCAAATAACTTTGTTGTTTGCAAAACTTGTGCATATGATTTTAAAATTGACAATTTATATTTGCATTTAAAGTTATGAAATAGGATTCATTAAACATGTTTGTGGTTGTTACAGTAAAAAAAATAAACTTTCTACTCGGATTTTATGTTTTTTGTCTGATTTTAGATCAATTGTTAACTGTGTTAATACAGTATGTCAAAATGAAAACATAACTATAAATTCAGACACGTGAGGATGATGCCAAACAAGGCAAAGTAAATAGTTTTTAAAGCTGAAATGTAGAGGGAAAATTAAAAGTAGTCAAAAATGGCCAATTATACCCTGGACCCCAGAGGGTTAAACATTTTTTTTAAAAGTAAAGCAATAGTTACTTTTCAAGTAATTAATTACTTTTAGAATCTTGTAACTCAGTTACTAACTCAGTTACTTTTTTGAAGAAGTAACTAGTAACTATAATTAATTACTTTTTCAAAGTAACTTGCCCAACACTGTTTATGATATTCACCTTAATTTCTGCAAAGCTGAAATGCACGTATGTAAACATTAATCTCTGGTCTTACTATCATGTGCTTTATAGGTCCATCACGCAGACTAACCAACCAACGTGCTTAACTTAGGAAATAAATCGTATCCAGAGTTTCAAATGTAATTGCAGAACACATTTAGAAACACAAATTTGTCTGCAAAATGTGTTCTCTTTAGGGCTGGATATCGTCACTGATTTCTAGAATCGATTCGATCAATGATTCGATTTGATTCGATTTGAATTGAATTGGGGAAATTTTGCCTCAGACAGTCAGAAATATTATAATCCTGATCACTTATCAATACATATCTATATTTTTATATCTATAAAAAGAAAGCTGACACTTGTGAGATGTTATCAAAGATGTAAGCATCACAGCAGATTCCTTTGTGTCAAAGTAACTGAGGATAAAACACAGAAAAACATGAAGGCGGTTTTCCTGGTCTGGGTTTTTATAGCAGATGACCTTAAAAATATTGTGCAGTCAAAAACGAAATGAAGCAGAGCAAAGTTACAGAGGTTTGATTAGAGACAGCTGAGCATTTTGCAATTTTGCATAATTTTAAAAAGTTT